ACATTAGTGATGAGAAATTGGGGTAATTTTAGTTTGTCGTACAGTTTCACGGGTGATATGTCCGACCACTTCAGGTTCAGCTCAGTTGTCGTCTTTGAAACTATAATTGATTTTTTGGAAACAAAAATAAAAGGAAAATAAATCAAAAATATTTTTTGTTATTTTAAAAAGTAATCCCGTGTATTAAAAAGCAATTTATTAAGTAGTTAATTTTTTTCTAACAACTATAGTCAATATAAAACCCTATAATAAATAGCTATAGTCTCATAAATCCTGATAAATGTGAAGTAAAAACAAAAATAAATGATTGACATTTACAGCAATATAAATGGTATTTTTGTTGAATCCGGCAAAAAATACTAAAACAAAACAAAAGCCACAGAAATGATTGAGAAGTTATAGTGTCTTACATGAGGCCAACTCTATACCACATATTTGTGCGTCCATTGGGTATCGGTATAAGTCCATCATACATGAAAACCGTAGTTTTAGCCTATTTTTCAACATAGTATTCATTACATAACAATTTTTATACATCTATACTATATATATTTTATAAAGCTAATTAAATATGGAATATAATATGCAGCATAATGTTAATAAAATTAGTTTAAATAAAATAAATATAAAATAATAGTTTGCAATGTTTGTTAGTTTTTCAAAACTTTTGATATTAAATTTATTTCCCATATTATTAATTTACTTAAAATTATTAAATCTGAATAAATAATAATTAGTTGGTTCTCGATAATATATTTCGTTTATAAAGTGTTTTATTCAATTAATTAAATCGTTCCCTATTATCTGTAGATAGTCTGACGTTACAGTCACGGTTAACTTCAGATTAATTAAAATAATCAATTAGTACACAACTAATTGCAATTAACTCAATAAAAACATATCATTAACATATAGTATACTGTAGTATGGTGTTCATTCAATTTAATAACATTATAATGATCTTGATAATTAAAATTACTGTAAATTAAATAGAAAATCAACTTAATTACTTATTAGTGATAAATTGCGTAAAACAAAACAATTTATAAAAAGTTAATTAAATGCACAAAACAATTATAAAACTTAATTAGAGAAAGTGTTGCAAATATTTTGTTTTGGTCTTGAACACTTAACAAATGACCGTGAATATGCAATTAATTGCGAAAAGCTTATACTGAGAAAATATGGGAAATTAATTATCTTGATAAATTAGTTCAATTGCAATGTTTGAATAAATGCCTAACATTTTTATTTATTGTTTAACTAACGCCTGTAATTAATAAAAACAAAAAATATTTACTTATATATAAAAATGAGATAGTCTTACCAATGGGATAACCTGTCACTCATGAAAAATTATTTGAAAAACTTTGTGAATATACAAAATATGATTAAAAATATTTTTAAAATCCTATATTATTGTACTAACTAAAATTGAACACGGCTATTTAGCCAGTATCAGTCAATTTTGTAAGTATCTATAAATGATAATGCGCTGACATACCTGAGCATATAGAGTATGGACCCCCCGGTGTCCAGCCGGACGAGTACGTTGGGGACCGTGACGTACTGAAACTCCGCGGTCTTGGCGTTGGCGAAGAAGACCTCCGGTTTCCAAATCATTTGCACTAACTTTGGGTCGTTTAGGTCCAGAGCCCGCGACCCGTTCCCAGTCATCAGCCTCTGGTCGTACCATCTCTGCCGCAAATACAGGTCCACCTCATAGTCCATGGACTCCGGGTTTATGGAGCCGATCGACCGGATGAACAGTTCGCACGTAACTACTGTCGGGATACCTGTGCCACACAACCAAACATATTGAGATTTACTTGGATTTAAAATTTAAAATTTAATGTTACGATATGATGCAAATTATTTTCAATTAGTATATAAACCTAATTTATATTTGTCCTATTTATTAATTATAAAGTAGAAAACTATATTAGATTATTTTTAAATAGAACTTGAATAAAATTATATATTCTAATAGGTATTAATTAAAAAAGTTGTACTAAAATAGGTGTTGAATTAAAATCTATAGCATTATTTAAAATAATTTATTTTTGAATTTATTTTGCAATTTCTTATGAATTATTTTCAAAGTACCGGGAATAAAATAACTTTTAAAACAATAATAATTTTTTTAAATAACACAAGTTAATAAAAATCGACAAACAAGCGTCAACTGTCCCGGGTAACTAGTGACACAACCCCCATAAGCAATGACTGAGAGATCCTATGAGCACTTCTGACACCACTCCAGCGGTTTTTGTCCAAAAGCTGCCCATAAAAAAGCAGATCCGGTACCAGGAGATGAGGGACGCCGTATTAGACCCAAAAGCAGTCGGTTACATGAAAAGGCCCAGGATGACATTAATCAATGAGGCTATTACTGGTAATTATCCCAGTATTGAACTGCAGGACAAAAGGGCCAACCCTTACGGTAAGGACATATCGGATCTTACACTTCAAGGGCCCGTCAACATTGAACAGCACAACCCTAAAGGTTGGCCTAAAATATCGTCAAAAGGTATGACTGCCCTAAAGATACAACAGTTGGAGGCGTTTGGGTTCAGGAGAGAGGGGGTG